TCTTACCAATTATAACATTTGCCTTTCAATTATACTTTTTTTTACGAAATACCAAAAGATGAACTTTTTGTGTGTCATCTATTTGACAAATATAAAGATACAAAGTTTTAACCAAGGCATACTACAAAACTGTAGCATCTATAATATTCAAAAGTTTAATCAGATTAACGATGAAGCAGTTACATATATTTTTACTCTATATGATCGTCATGTGTAATGTGCAAAAGATGAAAATACATTCTATACAGATGTAGATCAATCAATGTTGGTCAAGGAACTATTGTCCATATTTATTTTTTGACGAATGTTGCAAAGGTAACTTAAACTTAGAAGAATTAAAAGCCAATATGACTTTACCATTTACAATATGACCTGAATCATTTGAATGAATAAATTCTCAATTTTCTAAACATACTTTTAGGAATTATAAACACTCTTTAATTGCTATTTATCAAATGTTGTATAACAATAAATCTAATAAGATAATTTTTTAAAGTTTAGAAACCGGGAACGTAGAGATTCGCCCCTGTACGGTTCCGGTCAATTTTGCAGGGTATCCGCCTATGCTCACCTCAAGTGTAAATATCAAGTTCATAAGACTACTCGGTATGGGACGGAAACGTTGTGGAGACGCTTACGTGGCACCTCCACAACGACGGTATAACGCCAGGAACACCACCCCCAATTACCATTCAGGTATAAGGCGTGGTAACGACAACGCCCATTTTTTCGTTCTTCCTTCCTCTGTGTTTCTTCTTTCTTGGCCTCACAACTGCATTGAAGGCTTGGAACAACACCCCCTAAAAATGTGGAAAAAGAATATTTATGTTGATGTGGCCTTTCAACGGTGTTATTCTTTCTTGACCCATACCCGATACTCTGATACTTAGAATTTGAAGTTTTATCTAATTGTTCCTAATAAGGCTGGCATTTACATCAGGACATTCAAAACAACATTGTTATTTATTGTGTTTAGAATATATTAGAACCCAACATTTATGGAATTTAATTTACAAAAGGCTTCAACTCACACAAGAAGCCCTTAACTAACTGTACTGTCATAAGATCTAGAATGAACTATTGAACATCTAATTAGTAATAGATTTTGAAAGGCACAAGCCACCAGGACAACATCTTAAAAGACCAATCTATTATAAAAATAATTCTAAGGGTAATAAAATTTTTTATGAGTAATCTCCGATCCAATTCCTCGATTTGCATCGGTCACCAGTAGATTATACAGACCACAATCTAAAGGTTCCCATAATGAAAACCGTAAATTATGCATTTCAATTATGAACTAATATAATAAGTACCTTTATCATGAGGTTGAAAGTCACAGTTTCATTGTTCATGCCACATTAAAAACAAGAAGGATCATACATAATATATAAATGTATCCTTTGGTTGTCCGAAAATGAATTATAGGGAGAAGAGAAGAGGTATCTGCTGAAGCGGTTAAAAATGAATGTAATAAACAAATGCCATTATCCATAAATGAGTTGAAAGCGTATCATCAAAGATTAACTACTAACTCTCTTCGGTTACTTATTGCCTGTATATAGAAGGAATAAAGCTAGTTAAATTAGATTGTGGAGGAAGGAAAAAAAACCAAAACAACAAGTGGTGAGATGGAGTCATGGAACAGTAAGAAAATGGCAGACATTGACACATTGTTATCCTCTTCAAATATCAACAGCCTGGCATTTTGGAACAAATATAAGAATAAAAGCTATAATATTAGGCATAAACCTTGCAGATGCATCAGTTGTATTGAGATCACAAACAAAACACTTTTTGCATTAACATTCCATAACAATGTCAAAAGAGATGTCAATCTCGTAGTTCATGATATCAATTCCAATGATCCTTATATTCCATCGGAATGGGTAAATAGGTTGGCCCTCTTATGTCTCTACCAATTTTATGTTTCATGGTTTCTTCGATTTTAACTATTGCAATTCAAATTCCTAATCACAATATATACTTTTGAATATTTATTGAAATGCAACAAAGCTACAGAAAGTTGAACTTTACCTTTTTCAATATGTTCATTTGAAATTACACTCATATACACAGACTCTTTTCATATATTTCACCCTTCTCTTCTTCATTTGGTGCACCAATTGTCTCATCAAGCATCTATATATGATAAATAAAAACATATCCAATTAACAAAAGCTACACAAAATGATCTCATGAACAAATATTTATTTCACCCGTTTGCCATTTGGGGAGTGAATCAAATCCGAGTGAAATTGAAGTTTTCAGCAATGTCAAAGACAGAAAGACAGTAAAGTTCTTATATTTCAATCCCATATAATTTTTTGTTCTATGTACACGCTATAAAACATTATTATGCAAACAGTTCCCATTGACATGTTCATCATTAATTTGAAAACTGCCCAAGTCAATTGAAAATACATGACGAATCGACCAAAGCCCAAAAACCTTGTACAGAAACGAACCAAATTATCAACGTACATGAAGATAGTGGCTCTCTCACGATCTGAATAAGAAAGAAATATTGACTATAACATACATAAAATAAAAAACTTTAGGAACCCTAAAAAACTGAAAACCATTGATTTTTTTACCGATGTAAAACCCATAGATTAATTCAAGAATTTTCCAGAGGAGAGCCATTTAACTATAAATAGAAAATCGTAAATTGATTTCTGAAGGGAAGAGATCGAGGGATAAAAGAAAAGAGAAAGAGAGAAGACAGTATCGGAAAATCAATAGCGAATACAAGAATTAAAACCATAGATGGTGAATGAAAATCTACTCAATTTATCGAATTAGGGAAAATTTTGTGGGTCTTGTTGAACACCGGAAGCGAGTGTAGCAACATTAGAACCCAAAATTTAACAAACAGTTACCTGAGCAACCAGAGTATCTACCAAACGGATATGCTAATCCAATTTGATGGGCATAGTTGTCGTTCAAATGTTGACTGATGTGGCGTCCTTGGAAACGTATAAATGCGTTGTAGACAATATCGAAGAAGAAGCTGTATATATAAAAAGGTGAGGCGTCGAAGGAAGGAGAAAGAATGATAAGAAGAACTGAATCGATGTATTGGTAAATCACGTTGTTCCGAGGGTGGGTTACGTGGACGAATCGGGAGTTCTGATTAGAGGAAAGGCGGAGTCATTGAGTTTGTGAATGTGATGGAGGATAAGAAACGTTGAAAGAGGGGTGATTGACGTCTATTGTGGTACGATGTGTCGTTTGGAAAGTAGGTTACGTGGCGTTAGACGAACAGTGTAAATTTGATTTTAGAGGCACGACAAAAATAAGGTTTTTATATATATATATATATATATATATATATATATATATATATATATATATATATATATATATATATTTGGACATTTGTTAATGAATAATGTTGCAAGGCTGCCTTAGTAGTCGACCATGAATCAGTTAACTATGTTGACAACTTAAGTGAAATGTCAAACTGATACACGTTATGTTTAATCTGTTTTAGATACAATACATTTTAAATGTATTTTTTTTAAAGGTTGTTTAAATAATAGTGTCCTGAATATCCTATTTTTATGGACATTAGGACATAATTTTTTTTGCAAAAACTCATTATTCATTTTATGACTATTTTTATGAATATCCTAAAATATAATGCTTTAAATAAATATATTTAAAATACGAGAAATTAAATATTCTTCTACCTTTTAACCCTACCAATCCTCTTATCCATTTAAATGATGACATGTATCATATGAGTATCCTAAAATATCATTAAATCTCATTAAATAAGCATTAAATGTTACATATGTCACAATTTCATTGGGTAGGAGGATATGTAGGAACAAAAAATAAAAAGATATTTAATTTATCTTAAAATACATATAGTTAAAAGAATAATATTGTGAGTGGAAATCACACCGGCGTCGCCTATTGTGTGGTGTATGGTCAAAAGTCAAAACCCCACACCTACGCTCCTTGTATAGTTTTCTTCGAAGCGGAAAAACCCTAAAACTTCGTAAACTCCGTGAAGATGGAGAAATCTGAAGCTGTTTGCGGACAAGAAGCGTTGGAATTACTCAATTGCGTCACCAATTCATCTTTCGATCAAGAGAAATGCATCGCGCTCTTGAATTCCCTACGAAAATGCGTTCTAGACAAGGTAAAATCATGTAATGTTCCCTTTCGGTTTTTTCGGAATAGAATTGGATTTAGATCGCAGTGTTTTCTGCCTAATTTCATCATTTTTCAGTGTTGACGTAACATCTCTAGGGTTTGATAAATAGATAAGAACTTATTCAATTCAACATTCGAATCATTGTGGTTTAAGTTTGAGCACCATGATTAAGTTCTGTATCTTCATCCTTTATCATGCAGAAAGTGAAGAAGTTCTCACTGGCAGAAGAGAAACAACCAAAAACCCACAACTGATGAAAAACAGGGCTGACACTTGTTTTCGTTAACTAGACATGATTGGTTGAGATGATTTTTAATTAATATGAATGTTTGAACCATTGTATTTGTATTCATCACACCAGATTTTGGATCTATATTCTAAACCAACATACATTTTCAATGCTTTACACATGAAAAATTACAAAGTATTGATGAGATTTACATGAATTTTGCAAATTTGTATGATTCATAATAAGGGAAAATCATGTAATCAGTTAACACCTAGTGGTTGTTTATTTCTTTTTCCTATTAACTATCTATGAGTAAAATGGGTGAATAGATACTGATTTTGTCCGGATAAAGTGTTAGTATGTATAATGTTGCTTCTTTTATATATAATTAATGAAACTAAATGACCATTTTACTCTTACATTTCAAGAAACAAATTTAACAATATTCATCAATTTTAATCATGAAAGTGAAATGAGTGGGAGAAAAGAGAAGGGGAAATAAGTAAAAGAGTTGTGTCGTAACCCTTCAAACAATTCTATCTAGATTGAGTCAATAAGAAACAACCATTTATAGATGTCTAAATTAAGTGATTAATCCATTAAGCTCATCAAGTAAAAAAGAAACAATCCTTATGATCTTCTCTTTCTAGCTTTTGGTTGTTTACTTATTGAAATGATTTCTACAAATAGATTTGACAACTTGAGTTGACAAAATCACTAGTCATAATCTCCTCTTCTTCTCTAATAACATACAATAACAATAATGTTAATAATAAATCAAATTCTTCCTTCATTCAGCTGATAACTGTAAATGGGGAATCCAGACTGTGCATGACATATGTGAGCACCAAAGCTACCAACATCAACAAATATGCTATCCCTTGATCGATTGATGTCCCTAAATCCCAAATAAGTTAACACCCATTAATGAAAAATCCCAAACAGGAATTGTTTAAAATCATCCACAAATTTATATTTTATAGCATCAAGTATATGCATTTTAAACGCAAAATGTGTAGCATCATATGCGTGAACAAAAACATAAAGAAAAATGGGTGTAACATGATTTCAAGCAATCATCTTCATCTAATCTACTTACTCATACGAAATGTAAACCAAGTGTGCTAAAAAGACTTGTTTGTCCTATTCCTATCTTTGCAAGCTACAGTCTTTGGGGCATTTTGGTCATTCTTCCCTTTGCTAATAAAAAAATGGCTAACAACATAGAAGATATTTCTAATGTAATGATCTATATATCATGATCATTAAATCGGTATTTAACCTTTGATTCAATGTGTTTACGTTTAATTCGTTTATATCATTTTGATTTGTGGATCATAGAGATCAAAACTCAAAAGCTTGATCGGTAAAGTTATAGAACCAAAATTTCTGGTTCGCTTCCATATTATTAGCTAATCGTGTGAGGGATGAAAGGGCAACTACTTGGACAGCTACCATTGATGAATAGTTTTGCAATAAAAGATCTAAATCCTTTCAGGGGCATTTGATCGAACACAAAAGGAAGAACGAACGGGAAACGTTAAGCAAATTGCAGATGCGAAAAATGCAGAAGGCAATTACAAAATGAATAATGAAATTGAAAACTAACCGTCGCTGGTAGGTGCTGGCGCCGGAGCCAAAGGCTGGCCGTGAACGGCGGCGGGAAATGCGATGGCGAAGATGAGAGCAAATGCGGACACCACACCTGACGGAATCTTCGATGTCGCCATCGGAGAATAATTCCCGAGTAATTGGGGGAAGGAAATAGTGATTTACAGCGATGGAGATTCAGACACGGAATGTTGATTTTATGAACTTGCAATTGGAATTGGACGGCTCCATGTACATTGTATTCGTCTGAGTGGGTGCTCTTGTGTGATTGGGTCAAAATAATGACCCAGCTGTAATTTTGTTATACTTTCTAATTTCTGTACGAAATCAGATTTTACCAGTCATTATATTCCCTCAAACAATGTCTAACATGATGCTTTTACCCCCTGTTGTTTTACTTTTTTCTATTTTTAACTTTCTAATTTCAACAATATTTAGGTTCTACTTGTTTTACTTAACTTCCTATACGTCTTTTATCTGTATTTTGTGGATTTCGTCTTTTGTTCATCAGGAACTAATAAGAATCTTTAACCTTGTCACATTATACAAAAAATATGATATTCATTTTAGTTGCTATCATTACAAATTTAGTAATTCCACAATAGGGGCAAAATGTGATACACAAGCAAAAGTGCTTAAAGAAATAACAAAAATCCAACAAAAAAAGAAAAGAAAAGAAAATGAGAGATACACTAATCATCCATATCATCATCATCATCCTCTTCTTCTTCTTCATCATCTGAAACAATCTTCTGTTTTTTCCATTTGTAAGCTTGCTCCAAGATCTTCAGATTGGACGCCTGTGTTTCCTCCGGGAACAGGTAATCAATATACTCCTCATACCTACAATTTTACAAAACATTTCACAAAATTAGAATATGATTCCAATTTTTACAATAATAATAAAAAACATTTTTTTTTCACATACCCAGTAGGCCCATCATCCATTTCTATCTGTCTTCTCTTCTTCAACTTCTTAGGCAACTTAGCCCGAACCAATCCCACATCACCCACCTCACCAAAACTACTTTCCATGTTCAGCCACTCTTCTAACAACATAGCCCTCTCCTCTTTCAGCTCAGGGGCTGATGTCCTATAGTAATTAATCGCGTTCTCAAACACACCTGATCAAAAAAAAAAAAAATTAAATAAACCATTACAATAATCATTTTTTTTTTAAATAGCAAAAAATGATTGTTAATCGCTTACTTCTGGCACGTTGAATGCAAAGTTTCTTCTTTTCATCATCATGTTTTTGTTGCTGTAGTTGTTCTTCATCTTCTTCTTCTTCTTCAATGGCAGAAGCTTCAAATTTTGCATAACTAATCCACACCTTCAAATGCTTTGTACGATCCAAAAGCCTCTCGTACAGCTGTCTTGTTCTTTCAAATTCACCTTCCGCTATTTCAAAGTCAATATAAGCCTGCGAAAGTCAAACTCATGTTACATAATAAACATCCAATTTCATTTTTTTTTTGAATATTTTAATACCGCGTGTTTTTTTTTCTTACTTTCCATAACAATTCAGGCATGTCAAGTGCAGGTTGTGCGATTGCAAGCTCGAAAATAGCGCGGGCCCGGTCAGTTTCACTTAAAGATCTTTCCAGCTCAGCATATTTGCTCCACGCGTAACAGTTTTCAGGCGACCATTCTAAGTATTTTTCATATAGCTTTCGACATCGATCTATGTTACCTAATTGCAGCTCGATCTCGATGTATTTCTTGAAAATCTGTTTAATCAAATTTATTAAAATAAAATTTATCAAATCAAAATCAAAAAGTACATTACAATTCCTTGATTTAAACCGAACCTTATCTTTAGGAGCAATTCCAATTGCTTTTCCAAGAACAGCGCGTGCAGCAGAGAGATTCAACTGTCTGATTTCAAATTGAGCAGCCAACAACCAAACTTTTGCAAAAGAAAATTTCTTATGAGGAATCAGCTTCAAACACTCGCTATAAACATCGCGTGTTCTTCCAACATCTTGTGCATCAATCTCTTCATACAAAGCATAACTAATCCAAAGATAAATATATCTCTGCCAATATCTTTTCTCCTCAGCAGGTGGAACATTCGCAATGGCTCTTTCGTAAATTTCCCGAATCCTTCCTTTATTCCCAACACTCTCCTCGAGTCTGATGTAATCAAACCACGAGTCATAATTCAAAGGATTCTTTCTAACTTCTTCTTCATATTGAAACCTTCTCTTTCCAACAATGGCGTCTTCGATTCCTTCTCGATCACCATACTGTTTCTCAAAAGCTACAAACTTTCTGTAAAGATCTTCAGCTCTTCCCTTTGGGATGTGGTCGAGGGCGAATTTGTAAATACATCTCGCACGTTCTGTTTCTTTGCATTTCTCTTCGAATTCGGCGAATGCAACGAAGAGAGTTTCGGCTTCTTCATCGTCTGCAAGTTTTTCAACTGCTCTTTCGTAACAGTTTTCTTGCTCTTGTGATTTCCCCATTTTTGAATTCGAATTTAGCGTAACGAATCCATGCAGTGACTTTAGGTAAGCATTGAACGAATCTTTCATAGATGGATCTTGCTCTTTCGATTTCGTTGTATCTTAACTCGAATTTGATGTATGAAAGCCATGCTTGTTGATCAGGCTCCCACCCCATCCACCTTTCAAATATCTGTCTTGCACCTGTGAAAAGTTTGATGATATGTGTAAGTTTTTGAAATCGAAATCGAGGGTTTCAATTTGAGTGATAATGGAAAATTAGAAATAGCAATGTACTTTGGGGAATACATTCTTAAGTAATTTACTGAGCTCGATGTCCTTGAACTTTTTCTTACTTAAAAATGTTGTCTACATCGAGTGTCATATAATGAGTAATGTTCTCTATGGCGAATCCAGCAAAGAAAATAACATGGATCAAAGGTATATCAAGACTACTAATAAAGATCCTATAATTGGCCTCCCACATGTGTAAAGACAATGGATCAAGGAAGAAATGAAAGAGGCAGTTGATGGAACACAATGGCTACTCAGAAAGAAGAGGGAGAGAAAAAATAAATGAAGAAGAGAGAAGGCCCCAAGGTTAAGCTTGTGTAAAGAAAAGAGAGCAATCAGAACCGATACACTAGCAGGAGATCAGGAGTCAGGACCTAATAGATTATGTAAGATACTATGTACAACTATAGATTCGTATCAAGTATCAACAATATGTCACAAATCCACATGCTAATCTTTAAGAACTTTGAAGGGTGGGAATACCAAGACTTGAAAATCCAATCCAAGATAATAAAAAGTAGTACATTTATCGAAATTCCTAATCCCAAAAACTGAAATAGGATGACATTTGGGTTCCTAAGTTTCCCAAAATTTACAAACAACCTACTAGAAATAGCAAGTTAAAGAAACATGGGTTATACAAACAAAAGCAAAGACGTGCTCTAATTACCCTATTCTCAGTTTGTATAAATGCTTAAACAGTGAATGGCAACATGAAATTTATATAACAGTGTGTCATATAATGAGTAATGTATATCAAGACTACTAATAGAGTAATCATTGTTGAATATATTCAACAGGGATTGTAAGTTTTTGAAATCGAAAAATCAAGGGTTGTAAAATTATAATGTTGCTATTTCTTGCGTTTAGCCTGATATAGAAAACCAAGTGTGTTGTACAATTATAATAATGCAATGAGAGGGTTTATTATAGTAATAGAGTAATCATTGTTGAATATATTCAATAGGGATTGTTTAACAAATAAGCAGTAGTTGACTACCAAATGAATGCATTTGGGAATGATTGAATAATTGAACACAACCAACACATTCTTTAGAAGATGGGAGATCTTTACTTAGTTTGATGTCCTTGAAGGCTTGAGCATTTTCTTACTCCTTAAATTTATGTTCTATTTGAAAAAGTTATCTACACCATGTGTTATACAATACAATAAGTAATGTTTCAAGGTATATCAAGACTACTAATAGAGTTCTTACAATTGTCCCCGACATATTTTCATGCTTCTCTAGAAATTTATACAACTGAATGATACATTGTCATGATAAGGGTTAAACGGACTGGCTAATTAATGCATTACTACAGCTTAGAACTACAAAACAAAGGTTTTCAATGCTTTATCTGTGTAGTCATGAATAACTTCCAATGTGAGTTGTGCAACAAGTAGTCATGAATGAGTACCAATGCTGGAAATTACGGTTTATAATGAATAATGTTTTAAGATAGTTAGCAGCTTCAAAAGCAGAATTTTCTTCACCAAGAGTTTTCAATGCACTTATCTACGTTGAAATTATGCAGCTAAGATAATGATAATCATACCATGATATGGAATTAAGCATAGCAATATCAAGTAAAGTAATAAACACGATTGAAGTACCTGCAACATTGCCTAGCATTTCCTCCATATGAATATACTTATACCACAACTGATCCACCCTCGGTAACAAAGTAACTGCCCTATCCCAGACATTCCTTGCATGATTGATGAACTTATTCTTCATCTCAACGTCGGCATATTTCAACCACATTGTATGGTCTCTATAGTCGACATCAAGCGCTCGTTCCCATACCGACCTAGCTCGATTGAAATCCTTCTGTGACTCTTCCCACTTGGCATACTTCACCCACACACTCTTGTTCCACCGCACTCTCCGAATCAGGTCTTCGAATTCTTTACGTTTACGGAGACGATAGTCTGCGAGCTCTGTGGAGTCGGTGATTTTCTGCTTTGGTGGTCGGATTTCAGCTTCTTGACGTTCTCGTGCTTCACGTAAAATCTGTTCCGCTGTAATTTGAATTGGAGCTGGGGTTTTGTTCTTAACCCTAGTTGGTCGAGGAAGCTTGACCTCCGTTTCCTTCCGAGTCAAATAGCCTAACGCCGGATCTCCCTCTCGGGATGCCATGGTTGGATTCGAGGTTCTGAATGCTTGATTTGGGGTTTAGCAACGAGGTTACCGTAGGCGAATCGTGTAGGAAAGAAGATCTTGTACCAAAAAGAAACCCTAGTCGTCTTGGGTACGTCGTAAGGCGGAACAATGAGGAAATGATAGCTTTTTTTTTTTTCTGATGAAAGGGTTTTAGGTTTTTTTATTTTTAACTTGGTAACTAAATTTACAACTACAACTAAATGGAAACTTTTCTTTTGAAAATAATTTAGGTTCAAAATAGTTGGTCGTATTTTTAAGGCTTGTATATATTTTGTTGGTGATTTGTGTCATCGGTATTATTTAAGTATAATAGATTAATTTATTGATCAAATATAATATTGATGAACATTAAACAAGTAATGATGGTGTGGAATCCACGTTTGTTTGAGTTTGTCCAAGATTCAAAATAAACTGTCATTTAAGGGTGAAACTCTGAACAAACGGGGATCCGGGGACAGCGCCCCTAGTAGCCGGGTCCAAGGGGCAGAGCCTTTGGTTGAGATGTTTATTTGGGTTATGTTGTTTTGTTAAAAATGCATCGAAAATCCGATTTTTCTAAAATTAACCCGGTTTTGACCATTTTTTAAGAACCCAATTTTATAACAGTTTTAGAGACAGTTCGGTGTTGGTTGTTAAAACTGTATTGGGACAGTTTTGGTGGTTTTCATACATGGAAATTGAATCTCATTTTTTGTTCATTATTTATGGTAAATTGAAAATCATAATAAATTTTAGTCTGTGTTCTTGCATCTCTTATGAGTCTTTATCCAATTGAATTTTCAGGAATATCACTAAAATCCTTCAATTTAAAAATGATTTCACGATTCTCGAATTTTCAAGCACTCTGAATGTAACATCCCGATGGCGAGGTATTTCTAATTTTAACCCTATAATTCATTTATATTGCATTTTGGTCCCTAAGTTCAAGAAATGTATGCAACAAGGGCCCTAGTGGTATTTTCGTAATTTTGGCCTTGGGGGAGTATGTCGTGCGTACGTGTGTACGTGGAGCGTAGTAAGGCGCGCCCTAGTACGTTAGGCGTACATCAGTGTACGCGGGGCGTACTTGCCAGATGTGGAAACCCTAATTTTTAGGGTTTGGCTCGTATTTAAGCACTCTTATGTCCTCATTTCCTTCACATCATATGCCCCCAACCCTCTCATACGTGTTTGCAACCTTAGTTCCGCCTTGAGGAGCCATTTCAAGCTTAGAATGTGTGTTTTTGTGCCTTAGAAAATGAAGAAAGGAAGTCAAGCTCATCTTAGAGGATTGAAGCACTTGGATCTGGGATTTCTACAGCATTTGCAATCTTCTTAAGGTATAAAGCTTGCAACTTTATCCCTCTATCAATTAGATCTAGTTTTGAGTGTTTTAAGGATGCTTTTTGGTCCCAAAATGTTAGGTCTTGAGCATGACATGTTCTTGATTCATTAAGTCACATTTCCAGAAGTTAGTAGAGTATTTGAGCCATAAAAAATGGAGTCCTAATGGTTATTTCTATTCCATGCATGTTGTAGAGTGTCTTAAGGCATTAAGATGTTGGATTTTTATGGATTAAGCACTTATTGAGCATGCAATGTCATAAAGTTGGAAACTTTATGACCCTAACGACTTTTGGACCTTGGATCTGCTTTTGGACATGTTAAGACCTTGTATTAAGCACTTGATAGAGGAAAATTGGAGTCTAGGGGTTACATCGTGCGTACATGGGCGTACGCCTAGCGTACGCGATCAACGGCCCCGTTTTGGTCAAGCGGAGGTTACGCCCAGCGTACCTCCAGAGTACGCCTCACGTATGGTTGCTGATTCGACTCGGCTAGGTTAACTCGGTTGGGTTGTCTTAGTTGACTTATGGACCTTTGACCAGTTTGACCTTAACCTTGACCAATTTTGACTCAAGGGTACTTTGGGTATTTTGGATAGGTTGATTAGAGTTATGACTCGGAGTTTGGACCTCATCATCTACCCTTCAGTCTGTGAAGTGAGTTTCCTCACTGTGCTAATTTTTGTAGTTGTTGTTGGGTTTTGAGCATTCTAACACTCCTATGGTGTACATGCAACCCTAGAAACCTTGGATCTATGTTTGACTAAGATACATGCAAAATGATTTTCCAAGGTTCATAATCCTATCTAGCATACATGGGGATCTTTTATTCTAATAGTTAGTAAGAATTACATACCTCTTTGTAGCTTGGATTCCTTTGAAACCTTGTGAGCCTAGCACCTCAAGTGTGATGCCTCAAATGCTTCACACAACACCAAGTACACTTGGAATAAACTCTAAGAGAATAAGAACACTTGGATTTTCGGCTAGCCCTCTTTGATTCACTCTAGTGGCCGAAAATGGTGAATAATAGCTTCTTTATATAGTATGTTACAATTAGGGTTACACTATGTAAACCCTAATTGTCATGACCTTTCATTTCCATGACCCATGGGTTATGTAACCCCCATGGAGCATCCATGGAGCATCTTATGGGTTTAACCCAACTTGATAATCCATGGAGCCTTGGCCCACTATATAAGTTATGGATGATTGACACAATCAACCCATATATTTAATTAGTCTTCTTTTGATCACATAATTAATTCTAAATTAATTATTGATCAATACTAACTAAATATTATTATTCTTATTATTAATATATTAGAACTTATAATATATTAATAAACCATAAGTGTCTTATTTCTCTCATTTAGTCTATCCAAGTGCATGATGCCATGCAACCCAAATGGACCATGTCGGGTCGGGTCAAGTACATACCAAATATAGTTATGGACTTAGACACTATATCCAACAGTCTCCCACTTGGATAAGTCTAATAACTATAGTTGCAAGTATGACTTCAGGAACCGATCAGCAATCGTAGCTCTTTCAAGGTCTCTCGGAACTGAGAAGATGATGGTGTGCCATTTTAGATAAGTGATCATATAATCCTCTGTTCTAGATATCAGCCGGACAAACACATGGAACAATGTCTTTCTATTGTCTAGCAGTTGTTTCCCGATTTCCGATTTGTTTGACATAGAACTTAATTGAACACATCAATTTAGTTCTGACTGGGCCCGGTACATGGGTCAAAACAAAATCATCGAGGGGCCCAGATATCGCTTCTAATCCAAGAAGGAACATATAAACTTCGACTCATATGTTTGCTCTACTATATTTGTTGAATTACACGCAAAGGTACGTTTTATAACATCGAGTTACCAATGCGTTTTCGTACAATCAATGCATAACCAACTCATAGGTAACAAATCATATGTCTAGGTTTGAAGACTTATATGATATTACCGTCTCACGATCACTCGAGATAAATTCCATGAAGTGATACCAGTGAGCGTGGGTTGAATCCAATACTCAGAACTTATGAGCACTCATGAGTGTTGTAGCCCCCTTTGTCCAACATCTTGGACCTCTACAAACCAACCCATGACAGTCTTGATTCATATGTACTTCCAACATATGATTGACTGTGGAGAATTTGAATAATATGATATATACTATAACATAATTATTCTGGAAGTCAAAACATGCAAAAAGAAATACTAGTAAATGATTGACAAGAGATAGCAACACTTTACTCATAAATAACAACTTTTATTTATCATCAAATGCCAATTACATTTTACATATTTCAAAATTATCTAACTTCTAAAAACTAATATCATCTCTTAGCCCTATGCACCTAGCATGCTGAAGATGTTTAACCCTACTCAGTCCCTTCGTGAAGGGATCTGCCGGGTTCTCATCTGATGATACCCTTTTTTGCCACGAGGATTCCTTCTTCTATTCGATGTCTGATGAAATGATTATGTCGATGTGCCTGGATCTCCCGTGATCTCTTGGTTCCTTTGCTAAGGCAACTGCACTTTCACTATCACAGAAAATTTCCATGGGCTCCTTAATAGCTGGTACAACTCCAAGGTCTCCGATGAAGTTCCTTAGCCATATAGCCTCCTTTGCTGCTTCACTTGCTGCTATATACTCTGATTCACAAGTGGAATCAGCCACTGTATCTTGCTTGGAACTTTTCCAAGTAATTGCCCCTCCATTTAGGGTAAAGACCCAGCCCGACTGAGAGCGGAAATTATCCCTATCAGTCTGAAAGCTAGCATCATTATACCGTGTTACTTTCAAGTCATCACTCCCACCAAGGGTAAGGACCCAGTCCTTAGTCCTTCGCAGGTACTTGAGAATATTCTTTACTGCAGTCCAGTGAGCCTTGCCAGGATTACTCTGATATCTGCTAACCATGCTTAAAGCAAAAGCAACATCAGGACGAGTACAAGTCATAGCATACATGATCGAGCCTACAGCGGAAGCATATGGGACTCGACTCATCTCAGCTATCTCTTCATCTGTACTCGGGCTCTGAGTGTTACTCAGTCTGGCATTACACTGAATAGGTAAATCTCCTTTCTTGGAATTTTCCATACTGAACCTCTTCAGCACTTTGTCCAAGTAGGTACTCTGACTAAGTCCAATTAGTCTTTTACTCCTGTTTCTCAAAATCTTTATCCCGAGGATATAGGCAGCTTCTCCTAGGTCTTTCATAGCGAAACACTTCCCAAGCCAGGATTTCACTTCCTGCAAGGTTGGGATGTCATTTCCTATGAGCAGTATGTCATCCACATACAGTACCAAAAAGCTAACTATACTCCCACTAGCCTTGACATATATACACGATTCATCTTCACATCTCGAAAAGCCAAACTCTTTGACTTTCTCATCGAAGCAAAGATTCCATCTGCGAGGTGCTTGTTTCAATCCATATATGGATTTTTCAAGCTTACACACTCTATTAGGGTATTTTGTACTTACAAAACCCTCTGGCTGAACCATGTAAACATCCTCAGCCAACTTTCCATTAAGGAAAGCGGTTTTGACATCCATTGCCATATTTCATAATCATGAAATGCAGCAATGGCTAACAGAACCCTAATAGACTTAATCTTGGCCACTGGTGCAAAGGTCTCATCATAATCAACTCCCGGAGTTTGAGAATAACCCTTTGCAACCAGTCGTGCCTTATAAGTGTGTACATTACCATCCATGTCGGTCTTCTTCTTGAAGATCCATTTGCACCCTACTGTCTTACGACCTGGTACATTGTCAACCAAGTTCCAAACTTGAT